CTCCCTCCCTCCCTCCCTCCCTCTCTCTCTCTCTCTCTTTTGAGACAGGTTTTCTCTGTGTAGCCCTGGTTGTCCTGGAACTCACTCTGTACACCAGGCTGACCTCAAACTCAGAGATCTGCCTGCCTCTGCCTCTGAAGTGCTGGGATTAAAGGTGTACTCTACCACACCTGACTTGTCTAAAATTAACCCAATTTATAGTCATATAAATTTGTTTTTTATGTGGGAGAAAGGAGGGGAATCACTGTCCCTGGGAGGGTGTAGTTTAAAAGAGCAGAAGAGATTCAGGATTTATATGACCTTCAATTAATTTTACTTTTACGAATTTCATAGTATACCTGTTATGAAAGTGTGTCATCCTCAGTGTGAATAATGGAGGGAAAGTCTTGAGAGCTCCTGATCCACAGGATAGTTCACGGTACTTGGAAGTTTTCCCTAGTCTAGTCCCTGTGTGACCCATCCTGAATATCTACCTCATTCTATTCCTCTCTAACCTCCAAACCTGCTGTTTTCTTTCTTTCATTACTTTTTTTTTTTTTGACAAAATATCACTATGTAGCTCCAGCTGGAACTTGCTGTATAGACCAGGGTGGCTTCAAACTCACAGAGACCCACCTGCTTCTGCCTGCCTCCCTGGTGTTGGGATTAAAGGTGTACACCATCATGCCTGACTCCCAAGTGCTATTATCTAACACCACAGTCCTACATACATAATTTCCTTCTTCACTGAACTGATTAATATTCTTAGAACGCTGTTTTAGAAATACATTCCCTCGGTCTTCTAGGCAAAATCAAGAATTTGTTTCTTTGTCCAGTGTTTATTTGTTAAGGCATTTATTTTACAATATTACTGTTTCTTGATTTGATTGGCTCTTCATCAAATTAATATTGATGTGAGGAATTGCTCAGGAACTTTTAAAAAAACATTTGGATATTCCAAATGTTACTGTTCCAAATGTTACTATTCCACTTTTGTTTGAGATAGTTACAGCTTTATCAACAGCAGATTGACTAACTTTAGTGTTCAGAAAGTGGATGGAACCAGAAACTAGTTGAACATGTCTTTTTCGGGTATATTTGAATAGACGAAGCACACTTAGAAAACTGTGATAAAGCAGTCTTGGAGATGTATTCTTTCTTCCCCCAAACTGTGATATTAAAGAGAGATTTATTATTGAAGGATACAGAAACTAATTAGTGGTGCTGTTGCGGTTATTTAAATTCCTTTAAGAAACATGTTTATTATTATTGTGTTGGGGGCATATGTGTGGCGGTCCGAGCTCCTCTGGAATCGGCTCTCCCTTCTTTGGCGTGGGTTTCTGGAATGGCGTGGAGGGTGGCCTAGCTTGTGTGGTGGTGTGGTTTGGAGGAGAATGGCTCCCACAGACTCGCAGGTTTGCACGCTTGGTCTCCAGCTGGTGCTGTCCGGGAGGACTGGGCCTTGAGGCTTGCGGAGGAAGCAGGTCTCCACTGGCAGGCTTTGGCGTTTCAAAAGACAGAAGTTCTGAGTTAGTTTTCTGTGCCTCCTGTTTGTGGGTCAAGATGGGCTCTCAGCTGGTCCTGGTGCCATGCCTTTGCTCCGCCATCCTGGACTCTACCCCACGAAACCATCAGCACAGTTGAACACTTCCTTTTGTAAGTTGCCTTGGCCATGGTGTTTTGTCACAGCAATAGAAAACGAAGACATGGCGAGCACCTTTACCTGCAGAGCCATCTCACTGGCCTTAGTTATTTGAATTCTTATTCCAGAAAGGAGCTGAGAATATTACTTTTTTTGTTTGTTTGTTTGTTTTTCGAGACAGGGTTTCTTTGTGTAGTTTTGTGCCTTTCCCTGAACTCGCTTTGTAGATCAGGCTGGCCTCGAACTCACAGAGATCCACCTGCCTCTGCTTCCCAAGTGCTGGGATTAAAGGCGTGGGCCACTACTGCCCGACCGAGAATATTACATTTTACTTGGAACCATTGCTAATCAGAATATATATTAGAAAATCTGAGAGTTGTGGCTCATGTTTTTAATCTTAGCTCTTGAAAGACTGAAAAATGAGGAGCTCTGTGAGTTTGAGGCCAGCCTGGTCTTCTTGGGGAGTTCCAGGCCAGCCAGGGCTGCATAGTAAGACTCTGTCTCAAAAAACAAACACACAAACCAAAAGATTAGAAATGTTAAAGCCTCATTTAATTTCCTAGGCTATAAATTGATTTATGCTGTGACTCAGTTTATCTCTTAGATGTACACAAAATAGTATTTTCTATAGTCATCGATACTAGTATTTTGTTGTTTTGTTTGGTTTTTGTTTTCCAAGGCAGAGTTTCTCTATGTAACAGCTCTGGCTGTTCCGGAATTCACTTTTAGACCAGGCTGGCCTCAGACTCACAGAGATCCAATTGTCTCTGCCTCCCAAGTGCTGGGAATAAAGGTGTGCACTACCACTGCCTAGCTAATACTAGTATTTTTTTACTACCTTGATACAAGCATTGGAGCTGCTGGTTTTTATTGGCTTTGAAAAGAAAACTAGATGATTAATTTTTCCTAGTTAAAGAAATAATTAACTGTCTTAGTTAGGGTTACTATTGCTGTGATGAAACATCAGACCAATCAACTTGGGGAAGAAAGGATTTATTGTGCTAATGCTTCCACATGGCTGTTCATCATCAAAGGAAGTCAGGACCGGATCTCAAACAGGGCAGGAACCTGGCATCAGGAGCTGATGCAGAGGCCATGGAGGAGTGCTACTTACTGGCTTGCTCCTCATGCTTGCTCAGCCTGCTTTCTTATAGAACCCAGGACCACCAGCCCAGGGGTGGCCCCACCCATGATAGCTGGACCTTCCCTGTCAATCACTAAGAAAATGCCTCCATAGGCTTGCCCACAGCCCAGTCCCATAAAGGCATTTTCTCAGTTGAGCCTACTCTGATGACTCTAGCTTGTGTCAAGTTGTCATAACCATCCAGTTTTTGCCATTTCCCTCTTAAACAACAAGCCAAAGACATTAAGAAATAAACCCAAACCATCACAAATAAAAAATGAAGACAGAACAACGAAAGAAACAAATCTTTAACACTCTCCCTATTCTCTCATTGAGAACCACTTAGGTAGTTGTGAAGCCATCTTGTAACTATCTTAGGAAATCCTTTATTTCCAGCGTTTATTAGGAAACAGCCTGGAAATTAGTAAATACATACATTTCAAAGCCAGCTTTAAATGTATTTTTGTTTGTTTGTTTGTTTGTTTTTGAGAAACATCTCGCTCTGTAGTCCAGGCTGGCCTCCAACTCACAGAGATCCGCCTGCCTCTGCCTGCTGAGTGCTGGGATTAAAAGCGTGCGCCACCACCGCCTGGCATTAAAGATTTATGTATTTTTTTTAAATTTTATGTGCATGTATGTCGTGTGTGAGGGTGCCAGATTCCCTGGAATGGGAGCTACAGACAGTTGTAAGCTGTCATGTGGTTGCTGGGAATTGAACTCAGGACCTCTGGAAAAGCAGCCAGTGCTCTTAACCACTGAGCCATCTCTCCAGACCCTGTTATTTGTTTTCTGTGGGACCGGACAGATGACAGCTCAGCTGTTAATAGTACACATTGCTCTTGCAGGGCCTGGGTTCGGTTTCTAGCAGCCACATGGATCATCACTAACTTCAGTACCAGGGGATCTACTGTCCTCTTCTGACCGCCACAGGCACCAGACATGTGCTTGGTATACAAACACACATGCAAGCCAAACACCCATAGACATAAAATAAGTAAATACATCTAAAAATGTTGAAAGTTTTTATTACATTTTTGTTTGTTTATTTATTGTGTGTGTGCATGGACTGGCGCAAGTATGGAGGTAGGAGGAGGGTAGTTTGCAGGAGGTCTGTTCTTCCTGCTGTGTGGGACCTGTGGACTGGACAGATCCTCAGGCTTGGCAGCAAAGCTCCTCTGCTGAGCCATCTTGCCTGCCCCATCTTCAGCCTTTGTACTTGATGATATTCCAAAGCGGCATGCTTGGGTTCCTGATGAAATGAGAGACTTTTATTTACTCATTCTTTTCTTTTATAGGAATATATATGTCCCAGATGTGAATCAGGCTTTATTGAAGAAGTGACAGATGATTCCAGGTATTGTATAATCTTATGAGTAAACCAAACATTCTAGTGTCAAAGCTGTTTGCTCTTAGTGTTGACTGAGTGGATTGGAAGGAATCTGTTTTGTAACTTATCCTCTGCTGGAATAGAGACTGTGTGAGTGTGAGTGTGCGTGTACATGTGCACACGAGGACAGAGGGCAGGAGTGGGAACAGGAAGACAGTCTGGAGAGCCCTGTGATGATTTGATTTCACCCACGGCTCCTGATTGTGTCACACCTAGGAAACCTCTGTACCCATATCAAGACAAATCCACTAAGTTTTCCTTCATTTCTTTGGGAGTCCTCTTGAACTAGCCATTGATTTTTAATGACTACTTTGTTGCCTGAAGTTAAATTGCTGTTACACATATGTGGTGGGCTGTGGAGTGACTTCTGATAAGGACTCTAACGAGGCAGTCTATTCCAGGCGGGGAAATTGAGTTGTTTCTCGGCCTTGAGGAGCCATAGGTCCCTGTTCAGATGAAGAGCAGTGTTGTCAAACTTTGCCGTCTTGCTGCTGTAATATTAATATTTGGGTTTGTTCTCTTGGCTTTGGTAAAGGTATAATATTGATAAAAAGGGGATATTTTCTTTAAGTGATACTATATTTCATGATTTCTATGAATAAACCATGTAATAACTTAATTCTAGCATTTGACCAATTAACAAAATACCAACTACTTAAAAAGAATTTGTAATCTGAAGTCTTTTAATTTTGGAGTGACTTTGGAGATTTATGCCAGTTCATAATTCCTTTACATTGCTGTTGGCAGAACATAAAGTTGAAGGTCTCTTCCACAACCAGAAAAAAAACGGCACATTTAAAAGTATGTACTGTTAGTTTTACTGCACTAATGGTTGATGAGTATATATATATGTAAATGAGTTGGAGCTTTTGGGGCATTGTGTGGCATGGGATCTAGTTTGGTACAAATACTTGAATGTTGATGTAACAGTTTTGGTTTTAAATAACAATGCCAGCATTATGCCTGTAAGATTAGCATGACAGCAAAATTAGCAGTGTGTGGATGGCATGTTAACTTTGGATTTTTTCTTATTTGTGTTGTTATAATTGCACCAAATATGTATTTAAGACACTTATGCTCTGCATGTGTTGAATAAAGAGTATACTGGTTGTAGGGGAGTAACTTATGGGTGTTCTCCTAAGTTTTAAAATAGTAATTCTGATTTCTTTAGACAGAGAGAACTTTTATACAAAGTACAGTTATACCTGAGTATAATGACTAGCTGCAGGCTGAATACTTTTCTAGCAGGGAATGATGAATTCCGTGGATTCTATTTTCACTCAATTCTTGTATTTGTGCCTATATCAATCAAAGATTGTCCTGTATAGATGCTATTGGTGGTGACTATTCAAATGTCAGTATTTTGGGTTTTGAATGAAGTCAATGTTTTTAATGAGGGAAGAAATCTTATTCGTAGACTCAGAGTCTTTCAGGCAATGAATTATTATTCTCTTCTATAAAATTTGTAGGTATTTTCTGGCTTTAGTACTTAGCAATTACAGTGATTAGTAGTAGATGGTAAAAATTTACTGGAGCTGAGCCTGATGCTGTAAACTAGAAATTCTAGTTACCCAGGAGGCTGAGGCAGGAGGATCAGAGGATCATAACGCTTGCCTGGGCTATAGAGTTCACAGACCAGCCTGAGCAACTTTGACCTGGTCTCTAAAGAAAAAGTAAAAAGATGATAGAGCTGAGTGGCAGGAGTGTTTGCCTCTCTCGTTTGAGGCCCCAGTACCAAAAACAAAATCACTACAAGGCAGTCTTTGCATGTAAACATAAAACATGAGCCCCATCTGCCTCCACACATAGAGGACAGCTTGTAAACTTTCTTAAGTTTTGTAAAACTTATTAAAATATTGTTGTTTTTAGTATCCCTTCTCTATGCTTAGTTCTTTTGCTCTTAAGGTGCAGAAGAATTTTAAAGAAAGGAAATGTTGCAGGAGTCTCAGGAAAGCAGAATTCTAATAGATAACAATTGAATTTCTGAAATCAGGCAGTAAATTACGGCAGGAAAGAAGCCAGGCATGGTGGCACACTCTTGTAATCCCAGCACTTGGCAGGCTGAAGCAGGCAGGATCATGAGTTTGAGACTAGTGTGGGCTTTATTATTTAGTACAGATATTACAAGTGTCTTGTTGCACAATTGCAGTGATTTTTTTTCAAAGCATTTTCAACTTCTGACACAAACACGGTTATCAACTGGCTTCTCATCAGAGTAAGGCTTGAGAATGAGTACAAAAAGGATAATAATTGCTTTTGGTTTAGACTAACTAGGGTATGCTTGTCTTCCCAGTGAGCTCAGCACAATACCTGGCCTGGTATTGGAATTCTGAAAATTAAAGTAGTTAGTAGTAGGTCAGAGGTTTATGATTAGGAGGCATGCTTGTATTTGTTGCTCGAAGAGCTCTCTAGCCGTTTCTGTGACCCAGTCCACCCTCCTTTCTCAAGTGTCAGCCAGTTTCTTCTCTGCAGATTTCATAGGGGCACTGGGATTTAATTTCTTCCCATTCTTTTGGGTCCTTGGGAAGAGGTATTTTATCACTTAGACATATGCTATTAGTTCAACAACTTGGATTTTGGAGTTATAGGTATAGGGTATGCCATCACAAGGTTTTCAAAGGTGAGGAGTGCCTTTACTATATGGCATCTGACAAATATAAATGGATATATTTATATGATGATATTAATAATGAAATACAGTTTTTGACCTTTCAGTTTATATTTATGAAAAGAGGAAAGGGTTGAAATGGTTGAGCCAAATCCTAGCTATTTATAATATAACAGAATGTAGAACCAGAGTCAGAGGGATGTGGAGGAGTCATATTTGGTTGGTGAGTTCAGAGGCAATTAATAGAGGATGTAGCCTTGAAGGGTGGGTAGGGTAATCTGAGAATAGGATAACCTATTCAAAGAAGAACTGGCTGTCTTGGAACTCACTCTGTAGCCCAGGCTGGCCTCAAACTCACAGAGATCCACCTGCCTCTGCCTCCTGAGTGCTGGGATTAAAGGTGTGCGCCACCACCACCCGGCTCAAAGAAGAAATTGGTATTGAACTCTTCTAATCTACTAATCTACCAGGCCCTTTAGATTACATATTTAATAATTCCAGAAGATACTAACCTCAGTTGTCTTGATCATCTATCTGGTTGAATAGTTACATAGTGAAACATTTGTTTTCTTAGACTTTTTGAGGATACATGTTTACTTTTTTTTCCTTGCTAGGCTAACTTTGAATTGTGTTACTGGCTGTGTGTCTTTCTCTGGATGGCCTTTTACCCTAAATTTCCCAGACTTACATCCATTTGATGTAACTTTTAATTCATTTGAAAACCACTGGGTTTTGTTGTTTATGACAATTTTCTTTCGCCTGTTACTGTTTTATTTGTTAAGATATTCTTACAGACACAATGTCTTTGGCAGGTGTCCTGTAGGAATGAGTTGCTTTTCCTTATTGAGCTTTGTTCTCATTTTGCTGTTCTATATTTAGCTTCTGGGAAGGGAGCTCATTGCTGGGAATAGAATCACCACCATTGCCTTTTCTCTTTAGTTTTTTAGGTGGTGGCGGCAGCCGGATAGACAATAGCACATCAACACATTTTGCAGAGGTAAGTTTTCCTTTGACTCTAGAGCTGGCTTAGGAAGCGAGTGGGCATTAGTGATGACAGATCGTCAGCTAGTGCAGCACCGTGTCAGATAAACTGAGTGTAGGAAAGATCTGGGTCCTCGGTAGCTAGGGGCTTAGCATGTTTCTTCTGAGGAGAAAGTCATAGCCTGTAAGCTGTCCTCCTTCAAACTTGCTCGTGTTTTCTTTTTCTGCTGCTGCTTTGTGTATATGAATAAGAAGCATGTGCTGGGGTCAATTGTTAACCAACACTATGCAATACTAGTTTTCAGAATTTACCTTTTGTTAACATAGTAGTATGGTCTTTCAGATTCTAAGATGGAACCTTTAGTTAATTAGTTAACTTCTATTTCTTTATATAATGTGAAATCCATATGTTGAATCAATCCCTCCGTCCCTCTCTCCCTCTGTCCCTCCCTCCCTCTTTTCCTTTCTCTCTTTCTCTGTCTCTGTCTCTCTCTCTCTCTCTGAGACAGGTTTCACTATATGGTCCAGGCAGGCCTCATACTCACTTTGTTGCATTGGCTGGCCTTGAACCCATAATCCTCCTTCCTCAGCATCCCAGGTACTAGGATTTATAGTCATATGGCATCATGCCCAGTTAGAAAAACAAAATTCTGAACTATTATTTGAAAATAGAGCCCTAGGGTATTAGTTTATATCTTTGAATATCATTTATTTTTAATTCAAAATACTTTTTTTTTTAACATGTTTTTCATTGATCTCTTTCTTTTTCTTTGGGCTGTGTAACTATTTGCACCTTTTTTTTTTTTTTTTTTTTTTGAGAAAGGGTTTCATAAGGTTTCACTATATTGCCTAGGCTTGTCTTGAACTCATGAGTTGAACTGATCCGCCTTTGGAGAAGCTGGGACTATAGACATGTGCCATTATACTTAGCTCTTAAACTGTTTTTAAGGATGTAGTTCAGTGGTGTTCACTCCATGCTTTTAGTCATTTAGAGACTATGGAAAACCCAGTTCATTGATAGCAAACACTTCTACTTTTTTCTTTTTCTTGTGTACCTCTCTGTTGACATGCAGCTTGCTAGGCATGGAAGCTGATAAATAACCAAACAGTTTTTAACGTTAAATCCCATAATGAGAATTATGGGATTAAAAAAAAATTATCTATCTATCTATCTATCTATCTATCTATCTATCTATCTATCTATCTATTATTCATGTATGTGTGCATGCCAAAAGAGGGCACCAGATCTCATATCTCATTATAGATGGTTGTGAGCCACCATGTGGTTGCTGGGAATTGAATTCAGGACCTCTGGAAGAGCAGCCAGTGCTCTTAACCACTGAGCCATCTCTCCAGCCCTGATTTTTTTGTTTTTATTTACATATTCTTTTTGTTTCAGAATTATAGTCTTTCCAAGTATAACTGAAGTGCCAGGAGACCTAGCCAAATATTTTGATCTGTGTGCAAATTGAAGATTTATTGGTAGTGTTTTTGAAGAGCAATAGTTAATAAGACCATAAATCACTGAACCTTTTCATTTTGAGAATTATTTTAAGACTTGTATGTGTCTTCATCTCCTTTTGATGATGTTATAGTCAAGAACTGTGTTAAGGATGTTTCCTTTTGTTTATGGCCTATGGTAATTCCTAACATCTAGTTCTGAGTTTTTTAGTAGACTCTTAACTGCTTTAAGACAAGTTGCTGTGAGTGTGACTCCAAACAGGTCATGTAACTGACTGCTCATTGGTATTTTCTTGTTGATAGATTGAGAATCATTTAAAGTATACCCTGCATGAGGCTGGCAGCCTTCTTGATTTCAGCATTTCCCAGAGTGTACTATTCTTGGAAACACAGTCAATTTGATTGTGCATATGTAGAAGAAACTTCACTTGATTTTAAGTGTTTGTTCTCATTTAGGAAATGGAAATAGATGGAGCTGTCAGTTTTGTATGTATGATTCATGAGGAGGAGATGCATTGAGTAAGAAGGAAAAATAATACATGCGGTCAACATTCTAACTTCAGTTTTGCTATATCTGACACCCAGGTGGGGGCCACCCTCCAGGTGTTAATTTTGCAGAAGTGATGGTTATGAGTTCATGTTCCTTAGTTAGCAGTGACATGCAAATTTGTAGCAATCATGCCCAGTCTTCCCTCTGTAGAATTCTTTTGTCACTATGCCTTAATATTTAATTTTATCTGCCCCCCCCCTTCTCAAGACAATGTCTCACTATGTAACCCTGGTTGTCCTGGAACTCACTGTGTAGACCAGGCTGGCCTCTAATTTCCAGAGATCCACCTGCCTCTGTGTGCTGAGTGCTGGGGTTAATTTCCTTCTTTTTAAAGTGATCTTTTGCATTTTATAGTTGGAAAAATGTCTTTATAATATTATAGAAATCCCCAGGGATTTTGAAGAATTAGGTGAGAACTGTGTTTGTATGTAGCACTTCTGTTAGAAGTAGGGGCAGGGAACAAATGTCTGGTTGCCCTGCCTGCACAGCATTACAGTGTAGCTTGAGAGCAAGTTTAAAGACATGAAGTGGGTGAGAAGACACGATGCAGAGAGTGTACCGAGCCTCCTGCAGGGGCGTATGTAGAAAGCACAGCCAAAGGACGATCTTTTGGTCTCCAGGAAGGATCATGTGCATGTGACTAAGAACACAGACTCTAGAACCGCGTTACTTGAGTCCAGATCCTGGGTGTGCAACCTACTGACTGTGTGACTCTGGCCCAAGTCCTTACAGTCTTTCTGTGCCTGTCTGTGTCCTTGGGAGAATATGGGGGAGATGGAAACATGTACCTCATAGGGATGTTGTAAGGACTAAGTAAATCAACACATGCTAGGTATGTAGACCCCAGTGTCTGTCATAGGTCAGGGCTGTTAGATTAGAGCCATAGGTCAGGGCTGTTAGTGTACTTCATGGAGAAGGATTAGATGAAAAAAATCGGTCTCAAAATAGGGTTCTTAGCTATGTGTTTTTATGCCCATGTCCCTGGAGATAAAAATTTTTAGAAATAAAGTTATCTAGAGCAACAACACTTACTTTCAATGTTCTAATTGGTTATTTTGCCAAAGGCTTATGCTTGATTTCGCTGTGTTTTTCTTTAGTAAGTTGCTCGGACAATTAAGAAATTATTTTTTACAATTAGCTGTATTTCTAAATGTGTGTATGTATATATATATATATATATATATATTTTTTTTTTTCTTTTTTAAAAATTTATTTTTGTTTCATGTGCATTGGTGTTTTGTCTGCATGTATGTCTGTTTGAGGGTATCAGATTCCTTGGAACTGGAGTTACAGACAGTTGTGAGCGGCTATGTGGGTGCTGGGAAATGATCCTGGGTCCTCTGGAAGAGAAGCCAGTGCTCTTAACTGCTGAACCATGTCTCTAGCCTCCCTAAATAGATATATTAGAAAAAGCTTAGTCCAAGAAAATTTCTCAAATACTTAATATTAGGTTTATTTTCCCTTCAGTTGAGGCTGGAATGGGGAGGGTAGCTGGGTGGGAAGAAGGCGGGAGAGGCTTACCAGTTACACAACAGTGCCCTGAGTGACATGTGAGGGCTGGTGACTCTAAGATGTTGCACAAGTTTGGAGAGTGACAGGACATTGCTATTCTGAGGTTGCTGATGATAACCAGATAACTGAGCAGAACAGTCTTGTTGTACCCCCCCCCCCAAGACCCACTGATGACTTGAAAGTCTCTGACTAATACCTGGTGACAGTGAGGTCACTGATCAGGACAGGTCACACACACACACACACACACACACACACACACACACACACACACACACACTGTCTCTCTTTCTGAGAGAGAGGGAAGAGAAAGGGGAGGGAGAGGGAGAAGGGAGAGACTGTCAGACTCACAGACAGAGTCAGTTGATTGTGGCTGCTGCCGAGATGGGCTGACAGTAAGATAAACGAGCTTGCAGTGTGCACAAGAGGATAGGGCGCCCTGAGCAGTTTATGTAAGGAAAATTGTTCTGTTACATGGACGCATACAGTGGCAGTGAACAAAGGTGTAAAGAATTAAGAATATCTCTGTTTGCCAGGGTGGTGGTGGTTATGGTGGAGCTGGTGGTGGTGTTGGCGGCGGTAGTGGTGGTGGAGGTGGTGGTAGTGGTGCTGGTTGGTGGTGGTGGTGCTGGTAAAGGTCCACACCTTTAATCTCAGCACTTGCCTTTAAAAAGGCAGGCAAATCTCTGAGAAAAACCAAACCAAACCAACAAAAACCAAAAATAATATCTCCATTTGCATTATTTATGGATTCCTTCTTGATATATTTCTTTTCATATTTTGTCCTGAGACATAAGCACTGAAAGATACAACAACATTAAGTAGATACAACTAACATTAGTAGGTTAGTTACTGTGTAGCCCTTGCTGGCTTGGAACTATGTAAATAGACCAGGTTGGCTTTGAACTCATAGAGATCTTCCTGCTTCTGTCTCTGCTTCCTTAGTGCTGGAGTTAAAGGTGTGAGCTACTATACCCAGCCTAAGAAAGTTTTCTAAAAATTAAGTATCTCTTATAGTCTCATTATTTTATTCTTGCTTAAATTTTTCTTTGGCATAATACTTTCCATTTCTCCTATGCATGCCTCATAACTTTCCAGTTGTAATCATTGAGTTTACTCCTCTGTACAGCCCTCGCTGTCCTGGAACTCACTCTGTAGATCAGGCTGACCTCAAACACACTGAGATCCTCCTGCCTCTGTCTCCCGAGTGCTGGGATTAAAGGTGTGTGCCACCACTGCCTACTGAGCTTAGTAGTTTTGCTTTTTTCACAATTTAATTAGGCTTGTGATATCTGTCTTGTCTTCCTAATCATATATTTTTATCATATATTATTATCATATATTATCTATATTTTATGACTTCATCTTCTTTTTGTGCTCACAATGTTTATTAAACCATTGCCTTGTGTTGGATATGTCTGGTTATATGCCATGGTTGATCATGGAATTACACTTTTCTCTTGCCCTCCTGAGTCTAGACCATACTGAGAGAT